ATCTTTAACCCCCAGGATCTCGCATGGCACCCGGCACATAGTAGGCCCTCAATTTGTTGGATGATTGGTAATCAGTGCAAACTTTCTACAGTATCTCAAAATAAACAGCTTTATTGTGGTTTATCATCTCTACATATGTAGTTCTTCTGACGTATAGCATCATAAATAGTGTATTCCAGGTGGGGCATAATGCAGGCAATGTACTAAAGTCTACATAACAACTGCATTTGAAAATTTTACAACTCAGTCATCCACTTATTATTTAATCTAGGCTGCATGTACATCATTTTGAAAATCTTTATTTGATTGTTTTTAATATATGGATGCCTAAAAATCAATGCAATTCCATATTAAAAATATTTACTTTGAAGGGCAAACTTTATGACTCCATCTAGTAAAGAGTAACAGGTTGTATATAAACATATATGCTATTTTTTTTTTTACTTTCTCAATCCTTTTTATATGTTTTATAGTTTTTTATTATTTTTCAGTAGATAAGGATAGGTCAGAATTCAAAAGGTACCAAAGAGTGTACCAATAGAAAGCAGCTCTTTCTGTTCTACAACTGTGCCCATTCAATCTTGTGTATTCTTCCAGAAACATATTCTACATGTAGAAAATATATGAAAATATATACATATTTAATCACAATTCTGTATTTTATGTATGTATTAACAATAACATTGGTCCAACCACCAATGTTGTTATGCATGCTATTTTTCTTCATTTAATAATGTTGGCTTTGTTTTCTATCAATACCCATCTTTTTGTTTATTTTTAACCAGATGTCATGGAGGAGAAGGAAGATATGCTTGAACCCCTTAAGGAAGCTTGAAATGTTTTCATGTGTAGAATAGAAATATTTCTTGCCAAGCAATAAAATGATAACTACAAGAATGTTTCACCTTCTAGACCAGAGCTATTCAACAGGAGGATAAAGTGAGCCACAGGCATGAATTTTAATAATCTAGGTGCCACGTGAGAAAAAGTAAAAAGAAACAGGTGAATTTAATTTCAGTAACATTGTGTTAAATAAAATGTTATTGTTTAACACAATATATCCATAATAATATCATTGTAACATGTAATCAAGAGAAGCAATGTTAATGAGATATTTTACAGTCTGTTTTTCTTAGTCTTTGAAATGCAATGTGTGTTTTCCATTTATGGCACGTCCTAATTCAAACTAGCCGTCTCATGGGCTCAATTGCCAGATTTGGCTAGTAGCTACTGTATTGGACAGTGGACTTGGAAGCCGTCTTACTTACCAGTGGTTTCAACTAGATATAATTTCTGCCCATTAGAAATCTAATTTTAAAATAAGATGTAAGATGGCACATATTTAAGTTTTCTTTTAAAATGAAATGTTGACCCAAATGTTTGATTAGTGGCAAAACCCTTTTAAATAGACATATATTGAATGTTTGCACACCCTTCTTTGAACATCTCCTTTATTTGTTACTAGGTCTCCTTATCTGTAGAAGAATTTAATTCCTACTGTTTAATTCTAACAAGCCATATTTCTTAAATGTTCTTAATTTAAAATATTATATTCTTAATATAATAAAACTACTTAATGTTTTTTTTAATTGGTGTAATCAATCTTATAAAATGTCCATGTTATTTATTTTAAGCAGGGAGTGCCTTGAAAATGTTTACGGTGCATCCTTGCAATTTTTAATGGCAGAATTTTGTGATACCATATAGTAACTGAAAACATATCAAGCTCTTTTAAGGTGGGTTCCGTGTGTATTCCTTTTTCCGAGGGTCAACGAGAAGATAAAGACAATACTGAGAAAACCATTCCATGGCACAAATGGAAGGCGCTCTGTAAATAGTGCCGTGATTAAAAGAACTTCTGATGCCCACTGTTCTATCAGCATGTTTATTTTGTTTTATTTTTGTATTTGTTTTCTACTTCCTCCTCTGCTAGGTACACAGTACACAACTTGCATTTTCTTAAAAGATTCTGTATTCAAAACCTGAACATTATAAGCAACATCAGAAGGGACTGACATGAAAACCAACACACACAGAAGGAATGTGGATATTAGATTAGATCATATTTTTCAATCCATATGGACTACTTAGTACAACAGTGTAGTTCTAAAGTCTTTTGAGTTTTATTAACCCTATGGAAATTGAAATCTCCTTATTAAAATCCTCAAGGGAAAAAAACTACGATCTTTCCCTCAGACATCCATTAAGTGAAAGAAAATATACTTATTTGGCGTGTCTAATTGTTACATGTTCAGGGCCAAAGTGATCGGGCCACACTGCGCACTGGGGTCCACCCCACGTGGTGCTGAAGGCAGAGGGTTCCAGGTGTCTGGAGGGGAAGCACAGAGGTGCGCCTGGGCTGAGACACGCAGGGGGCCCTGGACATTCCAGGCACAACTGCCTTCTTCATACCAGGCACCTCTGTGGTCAGTTCCTACATCGGAGCTCCGGCTTCCAACTCGCTTAAGTGACAAGCCTCTGCCCCCAAATGAAAACTCATCCAATACGGACTTTAAAAAATCGCACGTGTTATCTCACTGCCTTCATCCTGTGTGTGCTTCCCACCCTCAAGTGGGAGACAGTGTCCGTTCCACCCACCCGCAGCGCCCACCCCGTGGTTTCCTCAGTAGCCTTTGTGCAGGGAGTCAGGTGGTCCGGCTGTCTGCTCTTGGCTTCATTTTGCCTTCCTATTCCAAGCCCCCATGCGAAAAAGAGTTTTAGCAGTCTGTCTGGTGGGCAGCCGGGGCCTCTGCCTCACTGACCCCCAGGGGAAGCGGCCGTCAGCATTCTGTGCTGTACTCACATGATTTAAGCCAACCTGCCAGCTCTAGTCTATTGTATTCCACTGTTGGCCCCCCACTGTAAGTACCCAACAACCTCTTTCTATTTTGAACCCCTCTGATTGTTCATTATATGCATTTTCTGGGTTTTTATACCCAAGCTGCAGCTTTCAAGGGGACATTTTCTATCTACAAACATACTAAAAAAAGGAGGAAAAAGCCATATTAGGTACGCAGCAAAGCCAACTCTAGATTAACAACTGTAAGCTCCTCTTTACAAATGTAAGGATATATGGGCAGCTGCCGTGAAGAAACACCGAAGGAACTTGTCCCGACACTGAGACTCTCTGCTTCTATGAATACAAATTCTCCTCTCCGTGACCGGGCCTGGAGCTCATTGTGTACAATCTGTGTTTCTAAATAGACTTGTAAGTAAATGATTAAAAGATATCAGCACCATATAGTCATTTCCATCAAAGAAAAGGAGGATTCTCATCTAGTAAACAGAAAAAACATCTTTTTGATCATTTAAGAAGTGTCTATGTATTGTGAGCTGACTGCACAAGGCAGAAAGAGCCATGTTCCAGAATTCATGTGAATTCTTGCAGTCTACTAACACCCTGATTCCTTCTCAAAACCGATGGGAGTCCATTTCTAAAGGTATACATATATTGTGACACTGGACAGGGGGACCACTGATTTAATTCAGAAATGCTGCTCTGGTTCCCATCAGTGAGACAGCCAGCCAGACTTGTGGGGCATTCGTGAATAGTTTGGAAGACGGGCCTTTCTCCATGCTGGCCCCGGGGTCAGCAGCTCTCCTGAGCTCACGGCAAGGAGGCCAGGGTCTGCAGGAGCCACCTGGGCTCTGCTGTGGACGTGGGGCCAGTGAAGGGGGGTCCTACTGCTCTTGGAAAGCCTGCAGTTGCTACTAACTTCTTTTGTTTTTAAAGATGTAGTGAGGATGTAGTTCCATAGCACTTATAAAGCGACCTGGTAATTAAACTTGTCCGTCTGATCAGCCGGAAAAGGTCCACAGTGTGCTCTCACAGCAGTGAAGCCGCCTGCCACCCTCTTGTTTCCTCCTCGCACAACAGTGTCACTACTTCCCCACAGCCCTCTCTCTCCTTAGTCATTCACTGGTGCCTGTTCAGGCCTCTTGGCTATTTCCCCAGCGCACTGTACCTTCAAGGTATGCGAGGAGAAAGGACAGCACAACTCAGAATGGTTCACTTTATACCCTTCTGCTACTAAAACAAAACTAAAGTCGTAAAGATGTCATGTAACCATCAATTTCATTGTCCTTTAATTGTCATGTCTCAGCCAAAAAAGAAACAATCATTGATACAGTCTCCATATCACAAATCTAAAGTTTTTAGCTGTATGTGTAAGAGCCAAGTTAGCTTGGGCTTCGCCCCTTACTGGCCGCTGGAGATCTTCTTTCCTCCTTCAGTGGGAGGGTTACTTAGGGCTCTCAGCGTGTTGGGTCCCTACATCAGGTCTCCTCCAGAGCAGGGGCTGCTTGAGCCGGCCGCTCATGTCATTGCATTAGTTGGTGAGTGTGCTCGAGCGATGGAGTAGCTTCGATTGTTATGCTTACAATAATTATTTAGAAGAAATGACTTCTATAATTTCAAATATTTGCATTTAAAGATTTATATGAAAATATGTACTTTTTTCACAGGGTACTGGTTTTACAGCAGAACTGTCAGGTCAAACAAATGAACTTGTTAGTGAATGCAAAATTGGTATACTTTTGTTGGTTGAAGATAAACTGTCCTCACATTAAGGACTTGATTGCTGCTCTGGTGCTGTTCGTCTAGCCCACTGTTTGCTCTAAACTGAGCCTTGCCTCCCATTTCTTCACTGCATTTGAGTATGTCTCACTCAAAACAGAAAATCATTCCATGATCAGTATAGATCATAAGGTCTGAAACTAGAAAAGGCAGAGGAGGAAGGGGGCCCGTTTGCTCTGGTCACATGGTCTGTGTCTCTGGCACAGGCCTCCCAATGAGGTCGCTGCCCAGTACATCTTCCCTGTCTGTTTCTGGCTTTCCAGACAGTCCCGGCTCTATTCATAGGATCCTTAAAAAAAAAAACAAGTGTAGTATAGTCGTTTACTCTGCATAGGTATTTATGGAATAAGCCATTGTGTCATGACCATAGTATCAGTTAAACCTAAATTTTTTTCTCTTTTTATGCACTACTTGACATCAAAAGCAAAAAGAGGTAAGTTGGCTATAAGCCTGTAGGTGAACCTTGTTTTCTTTAATAGATTTATTCCTGACTAGCTTTGCTTCAGTTAAATTCCTACAAATCAAATAGCTTTACATTAGGAAACTTGTCCTTGTAAATCCTTATTCTTTTCTTTGAAAAATGAATAAGCACCTTCTGGAAACTTGGATTTTAAAAATATCTAATATTTAAACATACTCTTTTCCTTTCGCTGAGTTATACTTACGGTTTAATTTGCTTCTAAGAACATAGCACATTTTGCAGCATTTGGTTTAGTTTTGGGGTTTCTGAGTTGTTTTCTCCAGAAATGTGGATTGCATGTTGTTAAGTATTACTTTTTTACCTAAAAAAATAAAAGCCAAGAAAAGCTGACATTGGTGAAAGCTTATAATTTTCAGATCCATTGCTTTATGGAAAAGTATGCCCTGAACCTCTCAGAATATTTTCTAGTGTTGATTATTTTCCCAAAAATAATGAAAAAACACTAAGAAGATCAAACACATCTTACCAAGTGGTGTCTTATATATTTTTCTTGTTTGGGGTATATTTTTACAATGACCTTTTTAGTAGCTTTTGGTTATAGTTTGTTTAACTTATTTCTCTTCTGTTTCTTCTTTGATGAATTCTGACATTCAGAGGTATAGCTGGTCTTCATCTGACATACATTATCAATAATATGCTATTAATTGACTTCGCTTAATAAGAACAGATCACCATACCACCTTGAGTTAACTCTGTGCCAGCCGACAATGTTCTTGGGAAGGTCACTTCTGAACAAAAGGCTCTTTTCTAAAAGGTGCTTAATTGGTTTAAGAATCTGGCAGCAAAATGTACTTTTACCTCTTGGTGCCACTGTATTAAATTACCCTCTCCTCCTTTATCTTAATGTCTTTCCTACCATAGGCCGTTGATCACACACGTACTCATAGTTTTTAAGTTGTTTAGAGGCAAAATGTTGACTATACTGCAGGGCATGTTAATATTTCTCTTTTGCAAGGTTTGAAATAAACGTGGATTATAAATATTGCTTTGTTTTATCAGCTAGATGTATGATACTCATCAGGACAACAAATGGAAAGCTGGGTGACCGGTTTTTTTTGTCAAATCTATAACCACTGAAAAGCCTAAAAATGCTCCCTCTCCTTAGCAAGTCATGCTCTGCCTCTACATTGTTGAAGACACTTTTAATATTCGTCACCAAAATATGATAAGCGATATGCAGTTGTGATTCTGTATGAAGGCAGAGTGAGATATATTTGTAAGATTTGTTGTCAGGTCATATTTTTGCATTGTTTAGACTGAATTTTTTTTTTTTATGTATTTCAACAATTCTGTCTTTATTCTGTGGAAAATTTTAATGAATAGTGATCGTTTCTGACTATCAAGGGTACAAACATGTAATGGGATTTACCATGTTAACCACTGCTGGAAAGATAAGGCTGAAGTGTCTGGTGACATAAATTAGCAGATTATACCCTAAGTAGTCAGAAATTATGCTATTGTCTTATCTGTGGGTACTTTGAGAGAAACTAATGCATTAACAGAGTATGCGATACGCTTGGCAGAACGGGATGAGATAGCCAAGTTTATGTGTCTGATTATAAAATGCTAGTTGTTCATAGCTATCCATTTGTATTAGTGTCAATGTACCATTAACTTCATCATTAGATTTTTAAAAATATTTCAACTTTCCTAACTATTGCTTATATTTATGTAAATGTTTCTCATGCTGTCATTATTTTTCTTTATATAATGTTCTACCTTAATTCTGTAGTTTTTTTCTAAATTCTCTACGCTTAATGTCTTTTTTTCAGTTTATGTATATAGGTGTCCATAGGACTATTTAAGTTGTGAACTACTAGGGGAATGTATTTCAGTGCTTCTTTCCATTAATTGTTCTGTTAATTCACTAACACACTATTAATCATTTTGTCGATTTAGTGAGGAATAACTTAGTATTGATGTTATTTGGCATACTTTAAATAATGGCAATTTAAAAATTATTTTCAAGATTTATACATCAGAGTCTTACAATTATTGAAGAATAATCACCTGATAACACTAAATTAGCTTTAAGATCTTTATCAGATAACATTTCCTCTTATAACTTTTGGTAGAAAGATATTACAATCGCAGGAATGGCTATAAACTGCAAACTCTTCTCTTAAGTGGAGCTGTCAGACAATGGCATTAATAAAGAAACAAATCCAAGAATACTTTAGGGAAGGTAAAGTCAGCATCTTAGCGAGAATTTTGCATCACATGCAAATTCCCCAGGCAAACTATTGTGAGGATGCAAAGAAGATTTTAAGAATTATTGAGAATTCAAAGGATTCACCAGATCCTCTCTGCTCCCACCCACATAGCGTGACTGGGAGATGAGATGTCCAGGAAGGGCAGCAATGGTCAAAACTGCACACAAGAAATGCTAAGGAGGTAAGCACACAGGAGTTCAGAGGAAGCAGGCGCTTCCTTTGAGGGTGGTCCAGAGTGAAGACTGAACCTTATTAGGTCTGAGTAGTCAAGAGAAGAGCAGAGCATTTCAGATGAATGTAGTAATAGGAGCAAAGGGCTGTCGGAGTGCTTTCATCACATGGCCGATTTTGGCTCTTTCAATTTCATTGTTGTTAATGGCGTTTGCTTTTGTGTCTTGAAGCTGAAAACCTCCAGGTGTGCTCTTCCCCTGGGTCCCTCATGGCTAGTCGATGACCAGCTCCTGCCAGTGGGCTCCCGAACACCCTTCACTGGATCTGCAAGACTGGTATTTAATGTGCTCACTCCACAGAAAAACTGGGGCTCAGCACGTTCAAGTCATGTCTTCGGTGTCCCTCAGCCCCTGGTTGGTGGGGCAGGGGTATAAACACACAGGTCTCTCTGCCTGCCTCTAAACCTCCTGCTGAAATGGAGGGCAGTTCAGGGGTGCAGAGGAGAGAGAATAGAGCATGAAGAGGAAGGCAAAGAGACCGTGGGGAATTCTGCAGAAGCATTATTGGCAAATGGAGAAAAATTATTGTGATGTACGCATTTTCCTTTCATGTGGAATGTTGTGTGAAGCGTTCACCTAAGCCCCCGGCCTGTGCAGATATAACTAATCATGGGAGCACCTGCATGCTCTTACCCACACATATTTGGAAGTCCTGAGTTTGGAGGCTCTTTTTATAATTACGAAATGTTCTGTCTCCACCTCAGTGCACAGTACATGGATATTTGTATTTTCTGCAGATTAATTAAACATCATATTCTATCATCAGTTTAGTTTTCCCCAATACCGTTGATGCAGCCACTTTCACTTGGCTCTAACATGCTGTTTTGCCGAGAAGAAATGCTGCTGAGATTCAAGTGCAGCTTTTCATTCAACATTTGTGCTTCTGGCTTTTTCCTTTGAGTTTCCTCAAATTAAAATATATTTGTTTCAACTCTTGGGCCAGTTCAGAGTTTAGAAGAAGGAAGAGAACTTTAGCTATTCTTGGCTTGTTTAGACATAAGAGGTGCAGTTGGCAAAGTGAGACAGCCGTCGCTGCCTTCACTTGCGGGCAAGTCCACACTCTGGGCTGGTGCTCGTCTGCCCAGGCTGCCGAACCAAGACCAGACACTGGGGAGCTTTCACAACAAACCTGCATTTTCTCAGAGGCTAGAAGTCCAAGATCAAGGCTGGGCAGTTTGGGCTGCTGCGGAGGCCTCTGCCCGGGGCTCGCAGACGGCCGCCTGCTCAGTGACCCTCACATGGCCTTTTCCTGTGTGAGCACATCCCCGGGTCTCTCTGGGTCCTCAATCTCCTCATCTCCTCTGTTCATAAGGACAGCAGCCAGAGTGCGCTAGCCATCCTGACAGTGTCATTTTCACTTAATTACCTCTTTAAAGATCCTATCTCCAAATATAGTCCTATTCCAAGGCACTGGTTTAAGGTGTCAGCATATAAATTTTTGGGGGGGAACACAAGTCAGTTTATAACAAACTCCATGGGGCATTTCACTGAAAAGACTCAAGAAAAGAGCATTTCACTGAACAGAGTCAGAAACCTGGGCTCAAGTTCTCCCTCTGTCTCCGCCTAGGCCCTAAGAAGAGCATTTACCCCTTCTCATCCCCTGTGTTCTGCTCTGTAAATGGGGATCACGACAACCAAACTCAACTGAGTTTCTGAGCACTGAAAAAGGCTTTTGTTCACTCTAAAAATCGTACAAAACATGGCCGTGCATAAACCCCTAAACCTCCCAAGGCTTCAGTTTGTCATTTCTCAAATAGAAATAAAACCTATCTCTGAATTTTTATAAGGATCAAAGAGCTAGTACATGCAAAATGCTTAGTCTAGTGTCTGCATATATAAGCACTTGGTGAACGTAGCATTGCGATTATTTCTCATCCTTTCCTCTTCCTTCTGCAGTCCTTCCGTGTGCTCTTCCTTTTCTGTCATTGCAAGTCTCAATTAGTGAATAATTTGGAAAAATACAGCAAAAGGTCTGCAGAAAGAAGAGCTCTCCTTTCCCTCCCATGAGGACACAGAAGATATCACTATGCTTTGCTTATTAACGAGGGAGTTACTTTAAGACAATCCATAACTGTTAACTTCATACTTAATAACTTTTATAATTAAATATTCTAGCTTTTCTACTAACTGTTCATCATCTGTCCTTATTGAAAGATCCTTCATCAATATTGACTGTTTATTCCAAGTAAGATTTTTGTTCCAAAATGATATCTGTTTGAAAATATTAGCAGTGCCATATTCTATGACAGCAGTTGCAAGTGGGTACATTTAATTATTAAATCTATTTTTTTTTAACAATCTCAGATACAATATTCCAAAGGTAACAAGGATAGTAAGTGTCTCACCAAGAGGCATGTATGCCCTTTTTATCATGAATTTCCATTTTCCTGCCAATTTTTGATTATACGAGTTGCCATTTTCAAAACGAGAAAGGAAAAAAAGGAAAACACAAATCCCTTCTCATCTCACCTTTCTTGTTGAAGGAAAGATGCCAAAACATTGTGGCATT